TGAAGATAACATACGTGTGTACTTATCTCGAGTTAAATAAACGTGTGATGCCTTAGCATCTTGTGGTAGTGTTGTTCCCAGAGTTGGTCATATTGCAAGCATACTGAAAGGATTACCTCAGGAGTACCAGCCTTTCATGACAGTTATAACTACCAGTGGTGACTCTATTTCTTTATACAAGGTGAGCACAATTCTTATTGATGCTGAGACTCAATTAGTTGTGTTTACTGCTCAAGAAGATTTAATGCTGGAAAGTGCTCATGTTGCTCATGGATCAGATACTGTTAAGACTAGCTCTAACTCATACAATAATTGATCACATCAATCCTCGTATTCTAGAGAAAGGAATGGTGGACGAGGTGGCCGTGGTCGTGGCCGATCGCGTGTGTAATGTCAACTGTGTGGGAAACCTGGTCACCTTGTTGACAGGTGTTGGAATCGCTTAGATGAAGATTTTCATATTTTATCTACTAATGTTGGTCGTTCTCAATATGCAGGAGATTCATCCAACACTATTAATGTCTCTTATGACAAAGATGGTTGTACTGGTTGTGACTGTTACTTGAATGGGACTCAAAGCCAGCTGGCCATAGAGAGTTCTTCTCAGGTTTACTCAACTGTTGGTTCTGCTCAAGATCAATGGGTGGTGGATTCTGGAGCCACTCATAATGTAACACCCAACTCTGGTAATATTACTCATAGACCAGAGCATGGTGGTCTAGGTAAGCTTACTGTTGGTGATGATGTGTCTCTGCATGTTAACGTCATTGGTGATGTTACTTTAGTGAAACCATCTAGATATTTGTTATTAAATGACTTACTTCATGTATCTAGAATAACACAGAACCTTCTCTCGATGTCCAAGTTTGCTAGGGACAATGGTGTATACTTTGAGTTTTACGCTCAAGGGTATTGTGTTCGTGATGTTGCTACAAAAGAAGTGTTGTTGCGTGGTCGTGTTGAAGGAGGGTTGTATGTCTTCTTAGGAGAGAGTTTGTTAGATGTTTATGGTAATGCTTCAACTAATTCAGCTATTGCAGTTGATGCTTTTACTCGTTGGCATCGAAGATTGGGTCATGCTACCTATAGTACTATTATAGGTGTTTGTAAAATAATTGATGTAAAGGTTTCTAAAGCTATGAATAAAATGTGTGAAGCTTATTGTGTTGGGAAAAGTCATAAATTGCTCTTTTCTAATTCTTATACAGTGTATAGTTCACTTTTCCAACTTGTATTTACTGATATCTGGGGACCATTGAATGTTGTATCTAATGGATATCGATATTATTTTTCTTTTGTTGTTGCATACTCTAGACACTCGTGGGTGTATTTTTTGAAGGATTGATCATAAGCTGTAAGTGTTTTTAAGTTGTTTCGGTAAATGGTGCTGACTCAGTTTGGTGTTGACATCAAAGCTGTGAAGAGTGATTGGGGTGGTGAGTATCGAAGTCTCTCGTCTGTTTTAGCTAAGGATGGTATATCTCACCAAGTAGCTTGTCCACATACATCTGAGCATAATTGTGTGGTTGAGAGAAAACACATACATATTGTTGAGCTTGCTTTGGTACTCTTAGCTCAGGCTGTAATGCCTTTACAATATTGGTATTATGCTACTGTTACTGCAGTTTATATCATTAATTGTCTTCCAAAAAATGTATTGGATGGGGTATCTCCTCTAGAAAAGTTGTGGGGAAAGAAACTTGATTATAAATTCATGAGGGTGTTTTGCTGTAAATGCTTCCCACATTTACGAGTGTTTCAAAGACATAAGCTGAACTTTCGGTCTCAGCCATGCATGTTCTTAGGATATAGCCCACAACATAAATGTTATATGTGTTTAGCCACTAATGGGAGAGTTTACATCTCTCGGCATGTCATGTTTGATGAGTCAATTTTTCCATTTGTAGGTGATACATCGTCTCGTACAACATCCAATGCTTCTGCTTCAAAATCTAGTTCTATTGAGATTGTTGTTGATGTTAGGAAGTTGTATGCTACGAATAATGGTGTGCATGGTCTTGATATACCTGTTGAATCGTGCGAAGATGTGACACATGGAAATGTGTCTGAAGTAGTAGGAGATGAGTCCTTGAACTCGGGTGAATGCTAGAGCTCATCTTTGGATGATGTACATGGTGATGTTGTTGTGGAGAACTGTGAGGAAGCAATGGATACAAGTGAATCTCATGGACAAGATGATGTGGAGCCCAGGATGAATCTTCATCCTATACTTACCAGAAGCAAGTGTGGGATCTTCAAGCCTAAGGTGTATTCGACTGCTTATGCTACTATGGAACCTGTCAACATGCATGAAGCTCTTCAGTCACCTCATTGGAGAAATGCACTTTATGCTGAACTTGAACCTTACAAAAGAATGATACATGGTCTCTAGTGCCTTTGCCTGAAGACGGTCAGTGGTAGGGTGTAAGTGGCTGTCTAAGTTAAAAAAGAATCCTGATGGGTCTATTAGTCGATACAAGGCTCGCCTTGTAGCCAAAGGGTACTTATAAGTTCCAGGTCACGATTTTAATGAGACATTCATTCCAGTAGTTAAGTTTACCATATTGAATGTGGTTTTGACTTTAGCTGTGACAAAGGGCTGGAAGCTGTGGCAGATTGATGTAAACAAGCATGAAGCTCTTCAGTCACCTCATTGGAGAAATGCAGTTTATGCTGAACTTGAAGCCTTGCAAAAGAATGATACATGGTCTCTAGTGCCTTTGCCTGAAGGATGGTCAGTGGTAGGGTGTAAGTGGCTGTTTAAGTTAAAAAAGAATCCTGACGAGTCTATCAGTCGATACAAGGCTCGTCTTGTAGCCAAAGGGTACTCACATGTTCCAGGTCACGATTTTAATGAGGCATTCATTCCAGTAGTTAAGTTTACCACATTGAATGTGGTTTTGGCTTTAGCTGTGACAAAGGGCTGGAAGCTGCGACAGATTGATGTAAACAATGCATTTTTACATGGGGACTTGAGTGAAGATGTGTAAATGCTACAGCCACCTGGGTTTGAACAGAGGGCTCCTGATGGTACACAATTAGTGTGTAAGCTTCAAAAAAGCCTTGTATGGCTTGAGACAGGCACCTCAGAGCTGGCATAACAAGTTAAAACAATGCTTGCTTAATATTGGGTTTAAGGAATCCAAGGCAGATACTTCTTTGTTTGTTTGGTATGTTCAAAGAAGTTATGTGTACATGCTAGTATATGTGGATGATATAATAATCACGGGCGAGTCAGATGCGCAAGTTGAAGAGATTTTGAAGCTATTGGGAGCTGAGTTTGCATTAAAGGATCTTGGAGAGCTTAGTTTCTTCCTTGGTATCGAGGTTCATCGATCTGGTGGAACATTAATCCTCAATCAAAGTAAATTTATTATGGAGGTTCTAGTGAAGACTAAGATGAACAATGCTGGAACTGCTTCCACACCTATGTTGCTAACATCGAAAATTACACAAGATGACGCTGGAGATCTGCTAATTGATGCTTATGAATATCACAACATTGTAGGAGCACTTCTTTATATTTGTCACACTCGTCTTGATATTTCATTCAGTGTTAACAAGGTGGCACATTATATGCATGCACATAGGTGTGATCATTTGGTGGCAGTTAAACGCATTTTGTGATATTTGGTTGGTACACTTAATCATGGTTTGGTTATAACCCCGTCCGTGGTAGGTCTGCATGTTGTGGCCTTTGCTGATGCTAATTGGGGTGGAAATACAGATAATCGAAAGTCTGTCTCGGGCAACTTTGTTTTTGTTGGTGAAAATTTGGTCATGTGGGTTCTAAGAAACAGAAGTCTGTCTCCAGGTCTATCATGGAGGCTGAGTATAGGAGTGTAGCTGATGTTACTACCTAGACAACGTGGATAAGTGCTTTACTTTCATACATGGGGATTGTTCAATCTAAAACACCTGTAGTATGGTGTGACAATAACAGTGCAATGGCTATAACTGCAAATCCGGATTATCCGGATTATCATGTTAAGACAAAGCATGTTGAACTTGATGTTCATTTCATTCGGGAGAAAGCTGCTGCTCAGCAGGTCTTGGTCAACTATGTTCCTTCCAGTTATCAAGTTGCAGACGAGCTGACCAAGCCTTTATCTACAACACAGTTTGAGATGTTTAGAGCAAAGGTCCATGTTCAGTCGTTTCTCGGGGGAGAAGAAAAAAGTGAGGAGAATGTTAAGTATAGCTGGTGTGTAAAGCTGATGTGTATAGGCAGTTATAATTAGTTGTTAAGTCTGTTAGTTTGTTATAGCTGATTGGTTAGATAGTTATGGTTGCTTGCTTGCTATATAATGATGTATGTGCTATGAGCAAAACACAGCAATAATATTCTTTAATTCCATGTATACTGGTTTCTTAACACAATTTATCTAGTGATATTAGAAGAAACCCAAGTAATGGAATGATTTGAACAAAGTATCCAAATAGACAAAACCAACACGACGTTGTTTCATCTGCCATCCCAACACCAAATATTCATCTTATTGCTTGGTAAAAGGCTTTTATCCTTCTGATACCTTCTTCAACAGCCCAGATTAAGCCTTCCCTGTAATATCCAAATCCGTCACTTTTAAAATAATGTTTTTTTTCATGCACCAAATGCATGTAAATCTTTCATCTCTTACCAGCAGGGATAATAATCACTTTCTCCTCTTTAGCCAGCTTCATGCAGAACTCCAGGTCATCACTGATGTCTTCCAGTACCGAAACATTCAGCTTCACCTGCCACAATATGCAGATTAGCTACCAATACATATCCTCTTATGTTCCGCAGACAAAATCGTAACGAAGATTGATGGCCTCACCAGTACGAACATCGATCCTTCTGGTTTGCGTGGGCAAGTCAAACAAGGTACTTCCTTACTCCATCAAAGCATTTCTAGGCAGCCTCTTTTAATGTCCCGATCAGTTTCGAAAAGAATTCATCCTTTGTAATTTGTATTCTCCAGGATTTGGGGAACTGCTCCCTAATGCATCAAACACAATCATTTATAACCAAGAAGAAGAACAACATTAATGAAATAGATACAAATTTTTATTTTTTTTGCATAACGAATCTGAATGAAAGTTGCAGGATCAGAGGTTATGTTGCAGCAGCCTGTAATTGATTCCACTATCTGACAGTAACGGAACACCTACATTAATGCATGGATTAGTATCTTATGATTTCTGTCTTTCCAGTTGTCATATTCCAGAGAAAAGAATGGAGGCTAACCCCAGATTTTTGAAGAATGCCATTAGGATCAGTAGTTGCAAGCCAACCCAGTCGCCAACCAGGAATAAACCATCTCTTTGATATGGACCCCAGAAAAAGAACTGGCACAATTGATCCAAATACTCCCATTGGCACAAAGGGATTGCTTCCAAATGTAATATGACAATAAACTTCATCGGCAATAACCAGAATTCCAAGCTTTCTTGCTGTCTCTGCAACCTATTTCAAACAATCAACAATTTCTGCTGCAATTCTAAACAATAAAATTTACCAGTTTCAGATGGTCATAACTGTAGACACTTCCACAAGGATTTCCAGGGTTTATAGTAACCATCACGACCGTGTTCTCATCTGCTAGAGCTTCGACGGCATCGATATCGACCTCCCAATCCTTATCGGGAAGAAGATCTAATTGACGGACTTTGAGATTTTCATATGCAGCACGAGATTCATAGAATGTGAAGGCTGGTCTCGGGAGCAGAATGTTGGCACCAGATTGAGTAATGGCTGCTAATGCAACTTCAATTGCTTGTATGCATTCACTTGTAAGATAAACATCATCCGCAGATAACTTGTATGGTAAGTCACGATTAAGATAATTTGCAATAGCCCTGTTTGAATCTACAAAACATTAATACATACAGAACATTTTTGAATGATAAAGAGTAATTTGTTTTATATTTGTAACTTCTGGTAGAGGGAACTCCAGCAATAGGTGCATAGCCATTATACTTGGCCGAGTGAACGGCATCGACTATGGCCTCTTCGGCTGTCGTGGAAGTCTTAAAGCCTGGAAACCGTGAAGGATCGCCGTTGCCAAGGGGAGTGGTGGGTCTTGGATCATCAGTGCTGAGATTTCTGATTAACATCTCGACAAGTCCTCGTAGGCTGATCGCCGATGTCAGGCTCAGCCTTTTGTTCCCTTGGAAACGCCACTGCTGTGAGCCATTTTCCATCTTCTTGCTTGTTACCGACTCTAGTTGCAGTTAACAAGAGACACGATGACCAGATATAAAAGATACATTTTCCCACCTCACAGACAAACGAAAATGGATATTTTTGGAATAAATTTTATGATTCAAATATAGATTCTTTTCTTAAAATAATACAATATGTATTACTACCATTTTCTTTTAAATATTAACCATTAGATCAGAAAACTTCCAAATTTCAATACAAACGTCATAATCAATCATAAAAATAAAAATGGAGAGAGTAAAATCTTTGCTCCCAATCACTTATTTCGATTGAAAATTCAGATCCCACACCGATGATAAAATTGTTTTTAGCATCAAAATTATGATATGGGAAAATAAAACACAAGAAGAGAGTCGGTCTCTCCATAAACTAGTTCAATATTTTGGGTTCAAATCCTAATTTTTGTACCAATGGATCAAAAATTCATTTAAAATATTATTTAATTTTAGGTTTAATAGTAAAAAATCTCAAACTGAAAAATAATAGTTAAATTAAGTCCTCCCAAAAAATTTACACACAGCTGAACATTTATAACAGAAAACGTAACTAATCAATGTCATCAATTGAACAATCCTAATCTACTAAACTACAAACAAAAATATTCAAACGATTAACTTTACAAGTTCAATAATACAGAATTTATAAACATAAACATGCAGCGAGTATAGATATGTATCACAACCCAGACGTATAGACAATCAATTGCGAGTCCTATTTTAATGTTCTCATGTGAACTCTAGTTCTGATTTTTAAGACTTAATAACATATTTCGATCAATAATAATAGATTATCTGATTTCACCTAACATGAGACAATTATCTATAATAATATTCAGGTACAATCACATGAACAATATCATATGGTCTCACTAAGCAATTAGGCAATAGATAACTATGATACTTGGTGTCACATAACAATCAACTATGGAGGATCTCATTAAGAGATTAAGTATTATTCTATCATATAGACATATGTATAGTTGCTTGATCTTATTAAGCATCGAAATTTTAGTTCATCATATGGTCATAAATATAGTTTCTCAGTTTCACTACGCATCGGGCTATGGATTCATGGATATTTAGATAATATATTGTATATATGGTTACACACATTACCAAGTATTTATAGGCCACACGTATCAATAATTGCTTTCAAAGATAAATGTTGTAGCTTAACCATACAATTATATTCATAGAGCATCATATAAAATGTAGGTTTTTCCTCACAAGTCCATACGAGACTTATTCTCAGTCTTAACATGTTTGCTCTTTTTAGAATATATTATGCAAGAAGGTATTACTATTCTGTAGCTTAGTATCATTAGTAATTTTTATCACATAGGGTTCACATAAGTTATTAGTAGGTCTTATGCACCAAATATCCTTTTATACATTCAAATATCACTTAGATCAATAAGAATATTTGTATAATTTTATACTTATAAGAGGGTTTTAGTAATTCGTACCTTCCAAGGTAGTTTGGCCATTTAATATGTTATTGCTTCTTTTTAATATCATATACTTAGTAGGTCATCACTCATCGACTTTGATCAATTTAAAAGGTAATTTAATATGCAAGAAGGTATTACTATTCTGTAGCTTAGTATCATTAGTAATTTTTATCACATAGGGTTCACATAAGTTATTAGTAGGTCTTATGCACCAAATATCCTTTTTATACATTCAAATATCACTTAGATCAATAAGAATATTTGTATAATTTTATACTTATAAGAGGGTTTTAGTAATTCGTACCTTCCAAGGGTAGTTTGGCCATTTAATATGTTATTGCTTCTTTTTAATATCATATAACCTTAGTAGGTCATCACTCATCGACTTTGATCAATTTAAAAGGTAATTTAAGTTTTTTTTATTATTCGGTATCGATACCAAGCAAAATGTATCGACACTCAACCATATGATATTGATACTTTTAAACAGTACCAATATCAAATTTATATAGTGAAATGTATTGTGATATTAGTATCGATACTTGAAATTCGATATCAATATTAAAGGATCGATATTGATATGCTATGAATGAGTATGAATATCATATGAAAAATTTGCCCATATTTTAATCTTAATACTCAAACTTTAAAATTTTCATTTTAGGTTTGAAAATCACTCGCAATACTCCTCTACACACTCAATTTAAGACCTTACTCTATTCCTAAGACTCAAAGGGTAATACGAGGTCTCATAACCTCATTTATACCCATGTTTAATAAAGTATACAACAATTTGACCACCAAACATGTTTGACACTCAAACATACTTAACAAGCATCATACAACACACAAAATATCATATTTATGAAGTTCAAGAAGCACAACAAGAATAGTAATATATTACCTTAGCTCAAAACACCATTGAAAGCTCCTTGATCAACTTCCTCTAAACATTTCTTTGCCCTTTCCATTAGATGGCTCTCCCAACTCTTTCACTACTCAAACAATCATCAAAAGAGATTCTAATCATATATAATATAGAGAAAAACATTAAAATAAATTTTAAAACATGAACATATCCTAAATCGAATGGAATTCGTCTGCCCCTATTAATGTCCCGCTCCCTGCCCTTTTACCTTAACACGCCACGTATCATTAATATTACTTATTTTAATGTTTCTTATATTTATCGGTATTTATTCTCTTTCTGGCCATAATTTATCTTTTATTTTTATGTTGAATTTTCATATATTTTATTTGTTTATTATTAGTGTACACTACTTTAAATGAAATTATATTTAATAATAATTCGTTTTAATTTTTTAAACATAGAATTTAAATTGATTAAAAAATTAATATGTGTCGTGTAAATTGTAAATATATTTTTAAATGAATCATATATAAATACCAAGTTCATCTGAAATTATATATATATATATATATATGCATATGTATGACATCTTCAAATATATTACTTAAATAAATAAAAATAAAGAAATTGTGATTTTAACTTAATCATTAAATTAATATATGTTCTAACCATGATAGTTAATTTTGTACTAATATGAGCTCAAACATTCTTAAATTAGTATAAGTAGTTTGAATTATGTTTCGATCAAATTTTAGTATTCGAGTGTTTTGATCGTTTGATGTATTTTAATTTATTTTGATCATTATCATCTTGTATAAGTACATAATTTCGAAAAAATGCATCAACATATAACAAACCTGATAGAGATGCGGCAGCGAATGAAAAGATGTTGCTCTTTGTTGAAGATTCTAACCTAGAAAGTTCTAGATTCGATCAAGGAACGAGAAGAAGATAAATGATGGTGGTTTGCGACAACTAGGGTTTTTGTGGAATTAGGTTTGCTAGAAAACTGAACAAGATATATAATATGATGATAAATAAGATAGAATAAAGAGAACGAAATAAAAACAAAGATAACAAATGTAATAAGATAGGAATAACTTAGCTAAATTAGGATTTTATAGTGATAGTGGGCAATTGGATGGTGTTTGATGATGATGGTGGTGATGATAGATAGTTGTCCTATGATAAACTCAATAATCGGCTCTAACCTATCCTCCTAATCACAATAAAGAGGCAAACCAAAATGTGAAGATATCTCTCACAAAGAACTTGAAAGAACTTAATGATGAAGAATTCTTCGAAGGCACAAGGCAATCAACACTTGCAAAAACGAACTATTGTTATACTATTAATCAAAGAAATATGATTTACAAAGATGAATGAAGCCTTCTTTATATAAGAGAGGAGTACTAAAAGTCTTAAGCAACTAATGAATAAAATATTAATAAATTAAACATGTTTTAATTCTAATTCCTAATAAAATATTAATAAACTAGGAATAATGTTTTAACTCGATCTTAATTTCTAATAAAATAATAAATCTAATCATAAAAGATAATGTATCATTCTATAATAAATTTTATTACAAATAATCAATAAAAATATTGAAAATTCATAATATTTACAAAATTTCGTATTAAACCCATATAAGAATTTCTGCATGCATTGTCTTCACTAAGATGAACGTATTTTGAGTTCCCAATATCGGATTGATACAATTCAAGAACCATTGGAAATAAGAGAGAGTCGATCATATCTCCAGAAGACATGTGACCAAATAACACCAGGATCTCATTCAAAATTTCGTCGCAAGTCTACTACTATTACGGTCTTCTTTTTCAAGGCTTGGTCGTGTGGATCAATTGGAAGCATTAGTCCATCTTCCTTTGATGTGAGCCTTATGATGCATGTATCATCCTCTTTCTCTTCAAAAATATTCGACCTCAAATTTGAAACATCAAAGGGATAAACATTAGAACCTTTTAAGAATTCATTCACATTATATTTACTGAGTAGATATGCTTTGAATCTCTGAGACTTTGTTCTTCTAATAGGTTCGAGTAGAAACATTAGTACAAAGAAGTGTGCATTCTCATCATCATGGATTTTGGAGAATGTATCAACGCTAAAAATAAATATGAAATCGATAAATACTATAATCACATGACATTATTTAATAAAAGGAGCATAAAGCCAGAGATAAACCAAAGGGGATAGGTGAGGATAGACGCACCCTGAAAATTTTAAGTTATCATATATTTTAGATTTTTTTATGTATTTTCTATTTAAAATCTATTTCCCCCCCTAAAATTTTATAAATTCATTATGTCTTAAAATTTTAGAGGTTTTCCCTCTAACATAAAATCATGCATTGAATGAGAAATTAATCCAAACGTTGTTGAGGAAAATGTGGAACCAATTGTTGGTACATGTGTAGTCATGTATGATGTGAGTAATGCGAAAGTTTGAATCAGTCGGGCTCTTTGTGGGCTTATGAATATTTTAACCCAAATATGAAATATTTTTCCTCAAATACATATCTTTTAAAAATGGAATTAAAATGACAAATATTAAAAGGTTAATTTAATCAAAACAATAATTTTAGAAATTGCTTGATTCTCATTAATGCTTCATTAGGTCAAAAATTTTCATTGTTCACAATGTGAAATTCCTATAAAT